TGGCTGCGTCCAAAGTTTTAAATAATGTTTGAAACAGGGCTTTGTCTCTTTATTTTCTCATCCACTTGCCTCTGCCTGGCTTAATTCCTAGGCAGTTTCCAAGTGCAGCAAGATGGCTTATGATTCCAAGGAAAGAGCCAGTGACTTTTCCTGAGGCACCCTTAGATGTCCCAGGAAGGGTGTTGCTGGTTGGCTTGGCTGTCGTGCCCATCTGTGAGCCAATCACTATTGCTGGGGTGATGGAGTACTCGAGTGGCCGGGGCACGGTAATAGGGTGGGTTGGTTCCTATAGGAAGAAATTCTAGGTTAGATTAAAAATGTGTCTACTGCACCTGACTTCTCTGGGGATGGTACCCCGTCCTCCTCATTGCTGCTACAGCCTGATCCTCCTGCCATCCTCTTGTCCCCAGGTGTCCCTGGGCTTACTTCAGCCACCGACAGCGCCGGTTCTCCATCCTCGGGGACCCGATCCTGGGCAAGTCAGTGTCGAACCTCCTGGGAGAGCTGCTATATGAGGAGCTGGCGATGCGGTGGGAGCAGCTGCTCCTAGACGATGCTTTCACCGGAGGCGCACTGGCCTGGCTGCCCGGAAGGACGCCCCGGATCAGGCAGCTGGTCTACCCTGCAGGAGGTGCCTTGGACAAGCTGTGTATCCTTTCTTGCTGGGCAGGATCCCAGCCAGCTCCCTCTAGTGGAGGAGGCGCTCTTGGCATGGTCCAGGGGAAGGGCAAGGAGTTGGGGGGCCCTACAGTGACCCAAGCTCATAGCACTTATCCTTAGCGTGAGGCCCAGATTTCCAAGAGGTGCGTCTGACTCCAGGCAGTGACCCTCGGACCCTTGGGAACCCCGGCCACATTCAGCTCCGGGGACCTGTCCGGCAGGTGGTGACCTGCGCCGTGCAGGGAGAATGTAAGACCCTTAGCTACTTCCCTGCCCGCTGACCTGCTGCCTGACCCTGACCCTCTCCATCCCTCCTCAGCTCTGCTGGCTGTCCGTTCTGACTACCACTGTGCCCTGTGGAAGGTCAGCAGGCAGGGGCGGCCAGCCCCGCTCCAGGTGCTAAAGGTTGAGAAGGGGGCCACGGGGATCAACCTCAGGTAGGGGCTGAATTGGGCTGGTTGGCAAAGAGATAGGCATGGGAGAAGGGGGTGGCATAGCACTAATCACACTTATGCCCTGTAGCCCTCACCTGCCCGGGGAGCTGGTTGTCTGCAGCCGTTCAGGAGCCGTCTGTCTGTGGACACCCCATGACGGGTAATGTCCCGTTCCCCAAAAACCTTCCACCCCACACACAGCTCCCCCTGAACTGCAACCCATACTTCGCACACAATATGTCCTGGACCCAGGGCCAGGTTGCCCCACATCTGCTCCCAACCCCATCTGCTCATCTCCCCACCCATGTCTCCCCAAGGCTTCAGCAAATCTACAAGGATCCTGAGACCCTTGTGTTTCGGGACCCGTCTCCTTGGCGTTGGGCAGACTTCACCGCCCACCCTCGGGTTCTGACTGTGGGTGACCGCACTGGAGTGAAAATTATCGACACTCAGGTGAGGGCTGGGGGATTGTCCCAGGCTCAGCAGTGGGATAGGGCAGATCCATGGGGTGGGGGCTAGCATGGGGCCTCCCAGGGCATGAAAAGCAGCAGGGCCAGGGAATCCAATAGACTGGAGGTGCCCCAAACCTCTGACTGTGGGAGGGCTGACCTGGCTTTCTCCCCAGGGCCCGCCAGGCTGTGGTTTGCTGCTTTTCCGTGTGGGTGCAGAAGCATCATGCCAGAAAGGGGAACGTGTCCTGCTAACCCAGTACCTGGGGGAGTGCGTCCCTAGTTCTCTGCAGCCCACACTCCATCTCATTTGTACCCAGGTGAGTGCCACTTTCCCCCTCCTGTCCCTTGTGCACTGTCTCAGCCAGCCCCTAGAGAGGGTCCTAGGACAGCTAACTGCAGGTGAAATAAGAATCACGAAACCCTAATGAGTCTCTGGCTGAAACATGCTAACTAGCGGGTGGGTACAGCCTGCCGGGGGTGACAACTGAGCAGGGCTTTGAGGTGCTGGTGGAGATGGGCCAGGTGAGAAGGAAAGGCATGGAGTGGAGAGCAGTCTTTGCAACACTGGACACTTACCCGTGTGCTCAGGAAAGGGAAGGAGGTCTGAGGGTTCCCGAGGGTCTGGCCCCCACCACACTACGTGCCCCCCCCCCCCCCGCCCTCCTCCACACACACAGACACACAGGGCATTAGTAGGTGTGTCAAGCATAGGTTCCAGGGTCTGGTAGGTCAGGAGAAGGCTGAGTGAAAGCTGGGTGGGTTTCTATCCACACCTCTCCTGAGCTCCCTTCTCCCAGCTGTGCCATCAGGATGAAAGATGGTGCTGCCCACTTGGGAAATGCTCCTGTGTGGGTCTGGGCACATGAAGGTGGAGAGGTGGTCAGGGCCAGGCACAGTGCATGACCACTTGGGGGTTTGCACTCATCCTGAGAGCCACATGGGGCCACATCAGACCCTCTTCTCCATCTCAGTTCTATGTCCTTTCCGTCTCGTTTCTGCTCGGGCCTCCAGTTCTCACTCTACCTGATGGATGAACGCCTCCCGTTGGTGCCCGTGCTGAAGTGGGACCACAGCCTCCCCTCGGCTCCCCTGCTGGCCCAGCTGCTGCCTCCACCCCGCCCTGGCTGTGCGAGGCCGCTGCTCCTCGGAGGCCAGGGCGGGCAGCTGCAGCTGCTGCACATCACAGGTGAGGTCCAGTGAGGGCAGGAGGCACGTGGAAGATGGGCAGGGCTGGAGCCTGGACAGGACCTCAGCTGCCTGTCCTTCTTCCAGGGGAGGGGGCCTCCACACCCCGGCTGGCAGGGCACCCCCAGTCTCTCCCCTCCAGGAGTGACTCCCTCTCCGCATTCCCTCTGCTGGAGCCCAGGAGTCAGTGGCAGCTGCAGGAACGTCTACAAGCGCCAACCATAGGTGTGCTGGGCTGAGGGAGTGAGTTTGGGGGGCTGCACCCCTGCCAGCCTTGGACTCACTGTCATTTCTGTCTTCAGGTCTGGCCGCCACCATCCTATCTTCTTCCTCCACACCAGTCCTGTCGCTCTTCCAACTCTCAGCGGCTGGAGATGTTTTCCACCAGCGCCTCCACCTCCGGGAAGACCCCAGGCCTCCCACTGACTCCGGGCCCAACTGCCATGTCCCCACGGCTTCCTGGAGCCCCCAGGCCACTGCTTGCTGCCGCAGGTGGCTGAAGGCCCTACTGGAGGTGCCACCGGCTCCCCCTGTGTGGGCCGCACCCACCTTTTCCCACCGCTGTCTGCTGAGCTTCAAGGAGCAGCAGAAGGTTGAAGGGAAAGTGCCAGAGAGTCTCCGGGCGGCCATGGCCCAAGGGCGGCTCCTGCAGCAGAGGGACCTGGGCTCGCTTCCCACAGCAGAGCCACCGCCGGGGCCCGAGCCGGGCCCCAAGGATGAACTCAGTGAGCGATTGGAGGCAGCCTGGGAAGGCCCGATGGCTGCCTGGTGGGAGCAGCAGCAGGACAGGACCTCGGGGCCCGGGAGGCAGCCGAAGCGGCACAAGCGGCGGATGCAGCTGTCCAATACCTTCTCCTCGCTCAGCGGCCACCTGGACCTCTCAGGTGCCACCAGCCCCCCTCACAGCCCAGACTGGACGTCCCCTGTGTCAAGGCCTCGGTCCCCAGTGACCTTGCCCTCCCAGGAGCTGACCCAGGATCTGTGGGCCCAGGGTATCCCCTCAGAGCGGCAGCAGACCCTTCGGGACTATATGGCCAAGCTACCTCTTCAAAGGAACACTCCAGAAAGTGCCTCCGCGTCCCTCTCCCAGACCTCCAGTACCCGGGCCACCCCCTCCAGACAGCGGACCCTCCGGGACTGCACAGCTGAGCTGCCACCCCACAGGGACACCCCGGAAGGTGCCACTGCGCCCTCCTCCCAGACCTCCAGCATCTGGGCCACCCCCTCCAGGCAGCAGGTGCGTGTCCTCTCTGGCTCTCAGCCACACCGGAAGAAGCCGCGCATGGGCTTCTGAGGGCCCGGGAAGCTGCTCCCCCACCTCTGGGGAGCCCCTGGTCCCGGACCAGCTGTGCCTTCTATGGCTGGAACTTAGGGAGTGGAGAAGGAACAGTCTCAGGGTACAGACCTGCGTCCTGAGGGCCACTGTGATGGGAGGCGTCCAAACGTGATTTGGAGCCAAGTAGGAGGAATAGGAGCAACAAAACTGTAGTTTCTCCTTTTCCTGAAGATACTTCCAGAGGCGAGTTGGCAGCCCCAGCAGTCCTGTCCTGAGGGTCTGTCGTCAGGAGGCAGCACTGTGCTTGACGCGAGGACTCTAGTCAGGCCCTTGGCTCCACCTCATGCAGGCTGTGTCCCGTGTCCCCTAGTCAGCTCCTCGCCGTGGTCGGGACAGTGAAACGAGACACTGAGGAGCTGCTGGTGCCTGGTGGTCGGTGGGTGTGGGCAGCTGCTGTGGGCTCGGTTGTGTGTGGTACAGTTTCTCCCAGGAGCTGATGTTTTAGAGGAGACACTTTGGACCCATCTTTAGGGATTGAATAAATTTGTCGCCTGAGCATGGTTTTGAATGATAGTTTCTAGGACTTGGAGGTATTCACTTACGTTGCTGTTTTAAAAATATATTTTACTGATTTTTTACAGAGAGGAAGGGAGAGGGATAGAGTTAGAAACATCAATCAGCTGCCTCCTGCACACCTCCTACTGGGGATGTGCCCACAACCAAGGTACAGGCCCTTGACCATGCCTCGAACCTGGGACCTTTCAATCCGCAGGCCGATGCTCTCTCCACTGAGCCAAACTGGTTAGGGCACTTACGTTGCTTTTGATGTCTAATGCATAAAGTTCATTTCCCCAAAGCTCTGTAGCTGGTGGGAGATGGTGCTGTCCGGTGAGGAAAACACCCACCTGAAACTGCACAGGACGCCGGATCTGCTCCAGATCAATCACACGTGGCGAGAGGAATGGCCTTATCTCAGGGTGTCTGATGAAATGGCTCACGTGACTGGCACAGATATTAAATAATTTGACAACACATTACCTCACGGGAATACTCAAATGTTTATAACGTTCAAATGAGACATTGACGGTTGTACAATTTATACCACAAGTAACGGGGGAAATGGGCTGTGCTTTGAGAACAAGGAACACAGTGCTGCCCGACACTGCAGGGGGAGAGCATGGGAGGGATGAGTCATGCGACAGGACACGCCGCAGCCCAGGCCCCAGAGCACTTTCGGGAATTGGAGAAGGAAGGGAGCCCGGCCCAGGGGGTGACCTGCACCTCGCTGCTGGCTCCCTGTTAGTGCAAAGGCAGAGGGGCCTCCTGGGGGTTCAGTCCAAGCCAAATTCAATGTCTTCCAGGTCTGCTCCCGCCTCGCGCACTGCGGGGTCCTCAAGCACTGTGGGCTCCTCAGGCTGCGTCTCAGACTGCACCTCCTTTTCAATGCTGTTTCCTAAGAGGAAAGGTGGCTCAGTGTTCCTGGGAAAGGAGTATGGCCACCCCCTCATTTTTCCCGCAGGCAGGCCTAGAGTCAGCCACGCAAGCAGGCGTCCCGAGAGAAACCTGGCCCTTGAGTGTGTTGAGGAAGGGCAGGAATTGTCTAGGTTTGTGTTCCCACTGCAGTTGGTGAATACATACCCACCAGTTTGCTTGTGATCAGTAAGCACTAGCCAGCAACCCCACAGCTGCATCTCCCTGGTCACAGGCTCGGGTCCCATCACCAGGCCAGGCTAATATGTCAGATTGTGGCTTCATCTGTCCCACCCAGCCAGCTGCTCACCACTGTCCCTGCCTGGACAACCTCCCCGCCCAGCACTGTCTCACCCATCCTGCCCGATTCTGGACCTTCACCGTGGAGGGGCCACAGGCCTGCATCCCCACACTCGCAGCTGTGGTGTCACCGGTCTCCCCCTTCCCTTAGAAGCCTTGGTCTGGAAAGGCTGAGGATTGGGATGGCAAGGAAAGGGGTGAAAGCAGGCTCCCCAGCCCCGTCTACACCTGCTGAACCTGACTGCCAAGACCTGCATGCCCCTAAGTAGCCCGGAGATGCCACCCGCCTGGGAATGCCTTGAGAGTAGGACAGCATTACCTGGAGGAGAGGCCGAAGGTAGGTCATCGTACCCCTCACTGGAAGGGGGTGGTGGGGCGTCCCCTTTGCAGGTTGGGGGTGTCGGTGGTTGGTCCAAAGGCTCGTCGTCGTCGAGCTCCTGAATCAGCGGGCGTGGGCACGTGGTGTCCCCGCTTTGGGTCTCCAAGTCCCTCTCGGCTGCTGCTTTAAATATGTGCGTATAGGGCGCCTCAGCCTTCCTGGCGGTGTCCTTGGAGATTGCGAATATGTTGGAAAGGGGGTGTGTGGACGTGCTCTCCAGCACCGCAAGGGAGGTGTCGTCCAGCTCAGGATCACTGTCGTCACTCAAGCCCGAGATGGTTGTGATCTTTGGAAAGCACATCTGTTTTTTTAAAAAAGATGCCTTTGAACATTTCTGCTGTCACTGGAATCACTCTGAAATGCACAGTGCTAATTCCACTTTCATCCAGCACAAAATATTCGGTTGCCACATACAGGAAAGGGCCACGGGAGCAGAGCCCTGCCCCTTGGAAAGTTGGGCCTCGGGATGGACACCCTTAGCCAGCTATTTTGAGCCCCCAAGTCATGGTGAGCTCTACAACCATGTCCACATTTCTTTCTCACCCTCTGGTGGGTCTCCACACTGCTCACTCTGTTCTGGCTACACCCACACCCTGCCGGGGCCCTGAATGGGCTCATCTCTGAGTCTTGGCCTCTGACACACCTAACCCCACCACCCAGACTTAGCCCCCTGGAGGTCTTGCCCCATGGTAACTGTGGTTTCATGTCTGGTCCCTTCCTCAGTGACAAGGTCCTGCACAAATTCTGTCTTATCCTTCCTTTCCTCTCTTGTGGGCCCGGGCCTGGCACACACAGGCTCTCAGTAATGCTGGAGGGAGGAGGGTCAGGTCAGATTGGGAGATCGCCCCATTGTGCCTCACACACTCCCCCCGCCCCCCCCGCTCCCCCCCCCCCCCCTCGCCCCCCGCTTCTCCTTTCCTACTCTCTCTGTATTGCTGTAGTCGTGCTATATAAGACGGACATATAAGTACATCAGAAGAGCAGAAAAATGTCAGGGAGCACATAGTTATTAAAGATCAGTAATAAAATATGTTTAAGAAAACCCCAGTGGTTAATCATAAAACCTTAAAGAAGGGGAGTGAGGGGGGCAACGGCCAAGAGCTGCATTTCCTTTTGAAAGGTGAAAATATAGCAGGTGTGCAATGATTCAAGCACAAAAAGCATCTTACTTTCAAATTAAAGTGATATGCTTTGTACATGGCAAGACTGGAAGGGAAAGTGGGCTTATGCTGATTTGGGGAAAACCTGTGTTATAACCTTGTCCTTGTCTTCCAGAGTTTCGCCTGTATCAACATCTTCCAAGTCGGGTAGGTCCTGAAAGAGCAAATGAGCCCGTGTCACCAGGAGGGCACACACTCTGAACGCTGGTAGGTGAGGCAGGTGCAGCCACACAGCGCAGTGAACCTGGGCAGGTGCAAGCAAAGCATGGAGGGGCAGTGGGGAATGGCCAACCCCTCAGGCAGCCCCGTGCACGCTCACAAAACACACACGTGTGGCTACTTCAAGTATTTGGACCTGATCAATGAATGCGATTTGCAAGGTGTGGCATGTTTGAAGAATTTCCACATCTTTCTTCACTTGGCTTTGTCAGTAGAGATACAGCCAGGTCATCTGGGAGGACATGATGGAGCCCAAACCAAGTGCACCTTCTATGTACAAATTAGCCTCAGGGCTCTGTGCTGTAAAATGAGTATATTTTGGACCTCCCCCAAACTAGAAGAGCTTTTGTGTTTGCGGTGTCTTTATCTCTAGCAACTGCTCCAGCATGTGAGGCAGGCAGCACCGTGTGTTACATTCCTGAACTCTGGAGCCAGACTGCCTGGGTTGGTATTCTCCTCTACTGTTGCCTAGCTGTGTAGCCATGGGCAGGTTGCTTAACCTCTCTGTTCCTCAATTTCCTCATCTGAACAATAGGGATGAGAATAGTACCTATCTCTCAGGGTTTTTGGAAGGGTAAAGCAATCAATACAAGATGTATTTAGAACAGTACCAGATAAATGGTAAGAATAATAAGTGTTAGCTATTAGTTGCCTTGTATACAATTGGTTCTCACATGCTAGAGGTTAATCACCCAGTTTTGTTTCTTAGTATACATAGGCCCAGAAAACTAGAAACCCACTCAGTTTGTCTTATTAAGCCACATGCAACTGTGCAGTTAGAAATGAAACACAGTTTAGAAATGTATCAAGAGAATGGGCAGGGGGCAAAGTTGTGGCCAGGGGCTTAAAGCTCACTCATGGGCAGAGAAGCAGGCTGTCCTTCCAGGTGAGCAGAGTGAGCACCAGCTGCCCACTAAGTGTGAGGCTAAAGGCTCGAGAAATGCCTCCTCACTGCTTGCCCCACCACACTCCCGTTCCTGGGGGGTGTGACAAAATGTGGACGTTTTCATGGTGCTCATTCCTTGGGCCAAAGCATTTGAGACTTATCAAAGCAGAGCTTCAGGAAGGAGAGGGTTCATGAGGCTGAGATATTCAGAAGGTCAGGCTGCCCCTCACCGAACAGGCATCAGGGGATCGGACACTGGACAACCAGCCACATCAGGAAGCTGGAAGGGAAGATGGCATCAGCCACTTGCCGGGCAGCTGTCCAAGGAGCTTAGAGGCTCTGATGATAAATGTAACTTTCTCAGCCACTATGTATAAGGCTAGCTGGACTGAACGGCCTAGCAGTGTAACTTCTTTGGGGGGGGGGGGGAAATCAAGAGTTTTGTAGATGTAGTTCCAGGGAAATCATTTGGGCCAGCGCTTCTCAGTCTTGAATGTGCAATGTGTGAACCCCCTGGGGGAGATCTTTTTAAAATGCAGATTCAGCCGAAACCGGTTTGGCTCAGTGGATGGAGCGTCCGGCCTGCGGATTGAAGGGTCCCAGGTTCGATTCCGGTCAGGGGCATGTATCTGGGTTGTGGGCACATCCCCAGTGGGAGATGTGCAGGAGGCAGCTGATCGATGTTTCTCTCTCATCGATGTTTCTAGCTCTCTCTCTCCCTTCCTCTCTGTAAAAAATCAATAAAATATATTTAAAAGAATAAAATGCAGATTCAAATCAGTAGATCTGGGTGGGGCCTGGGAGTCTGCATTCTAACCAGCTCCCAGGGGGTGCTAAGCCTGCCAGTCCAAGGACCACACTTAGGGGAGTGGGAATTTCAAAGGGTTTGTATCTGATCACCTGTTTCGCTGGCTGTAAAACAGATACTTATCTCCACAGGCAACTATTTACATACAGCGATGAAGAGCTTCTCCTCAGTCTTCAGCGTGATGGTTTCCAAATCTTCATGCCCAACAGGCTCTGTACCCAAAGCGTTCTCCGTGGCCACAATCTGGGGAGCTGATTCTAAGGAACAACAATACGCAGCAGTCAGAGCGACAAGGCTAAGGTCAAGGTGGATTCCAAGAGCAGAGGAAAGACAAAACCTTGGTCTGAAAGGCCAGCCCCTGTGACCGAAGCTGTGAGAATCCCCAGATTAGGAGAGGGTTATGTCTAGGAAAGAGAAGGGAAAGGAAGAGAGCTGCCCCCTGCTGGAGCCTGGAGATGACGCGATGACATGGAAGTGCCAGCCAGGAAGCAATGCAGAATACACACACAGGAACCTTGGAAAAGGCGTGATTGATGGGCAGTGAGAAAGGCAATAGCATCAGAGGCCACCTGGGGAGCTAGAGAAGAGGCAAGCTGGAGAGGCAAGTTCCATAGCCCTGTCTGAAAGGGCTGAACCCACCACCCTCTTGGACTGCCTGTCCCTCAGGGCACACGCCCCGCCCACTGCACAAGGGTTAGGGAGACCTGTTCCATGGTCTCAAGATTGCCTGGGAATAAACATGGAATCCAGGTGGGGCTCCTCTTCCTCCTCCAGGGGCCAATTTTCAAGCTCCCTAAGGCTATATTCTTGGGCCCTGCTCTCTGCTTTCTCATCAATCTCATGGTTTCGGTTATTACATTAAAGAATAATGGCCCAACTTTCTCATTACACACAGGTCCAAGGTGTCCACCTGAGCACTAGCTATGTCCAGCTTGATTCAAAGAGCCACTTTGGGACGCCAGGTTAGGATGAAACCAGGAAGCAGGCAGAGGGCTCCGTGGCGGCTGCCGTGGATGACCCAGGCCCACAACATGGCGCCACCATTTCCTTGCTTTGCAACTTGGAGCAAGTTATTTCACCTCTCTGAGCCTCAGTTTCCAGCTCCAACAAATGCAGGTATGATAACAGCACCTGGCTCCTCAGGTTTTGAGAAGGCTAACCAAGCCGGCCTGTGAAGCTGTGGCCTGGACTGAGTGCCCATGCATGCTGGATAAATATAGAACTGGCGTTTGTCTTAACAGCAGCTGTCAATTACAGATGCGGCAGTTAACCCACTGCTTTTGAAATATATCCTTTGTTCATTGAGGCCAAGGCTGGCTTCGCTCTGCTGCTAGGCTAGGCACAGTTTCACTGTGAAAAATCACAGGCCAGGCCGTGATGAGACAGGAGCATGTGTATGACAACACCTAAATCTGCAGTTCTTCTACACCTCTCCCAGACAGTAGGGGGCTTTGCTTTGGGGGAACTTCTATTCTGGGCCAGACCAGCTAAAGTCCCCAAACAGACCTCAAATACTGCACAGGCTGGGGACAGAATGACCCGTCCCCCGAGGCCCTGTGGCCTGGACAAGTTCCAGGTCTGGCTCACCCTTACTGACACCACAGCGATAGGGTGGCATCCCAGACGAGTGTTGGGTTTATTTGTTGGTCGGAAGGACCCGGGGATCTTGGCTAGAACCTGCCAGGGGTTCCTTTCCCTAGACCTGCATCACACACTATGTAGCCAGAGCATATGGCTACTGCGTGCTTGAAATGTGGCCAGTACTCCTGAGAAACTGTATTTTACATTTTATTTGTTTTTACTTTTAATTAAATTTAAAAGCTGGAGCAGTATAAAACAACTCCCTTCTTTTAGTAGGACTTCCTTTCACTGTAACTGTTGAAAAGTTCGCATTTGAATTACGATGTGCTGTGTCAGTGTCAAAAACATATTGGATTTGAAGACCTAGTGCTCCCCAAATGTAAGGTATCTCATAAATGATCTTATATTGGTTTAAATTACTGTATCTTAGATATAATGGGTTCAGTAAGCTATATTGTTAGTGTTTCGTCCATTTCTTTTTACTTTGTCTAATGTGACTACTAGAAACTGTAGTCATGGCTCCTGTTATGTGTCTATGAGCAGCACTGCTGTAGATAACGAGACAATGTGTGTACTTTATCTTATAGAAACAGCAGCCAGAGTGGAAACCTGCTCTGATCCCACAGATGCATGACGCAGAGACTGCGATTCTGGGAGTGCTGCCCTGAGCTGGCATTTGGGTTGTTCTGGTCACATTGTAATGGGATAGCAAGAAGCTAGGAAAATTCCTGGACAAGTGGAACAGGGAAACTGAGGCAAGAAAATTAAACAAGGCCAAACAGTTTGGGCAGCTTGCAGCCAGCTTGCAGCAAGACCTTATCATCCTCAACTAAGGACATGAGAATAAATGGTTAATACCTATCCTCCCTAACCAGAGAAGACATAGCTTAAATCACTCTGGAACTGCTAAGGGCGGGGGCGGGGGGGGCGGGGGGGGGGGGAGACACTTATCTCACTCACTGAACGAAGAAGTGAGCAGTCTCAGGACTTGCCAGGTGTTCTCATAAATTCTGGGAAAAGTCACAACAAAGTAAAAGGGGGACCTTGAAATCTAGTCTGTGCCCAAGATATCCAGCAGAGGAACCCTGAAACCTTTCGACACAAGGGTATAAAACCCCTGAACCCCCACCAAGTTTACACTCAGATTAGCTGAGTGCCCACCTGTGTTTTATGCCAGGTGTATTTTGATGAATTTTCTTGCCTTGCTTCTTTAATACATTTGCTTGCTTTGCTTCATTAATACATTAGCTTGCTTTACTGCCGTGCTGCTGTCTGTCACTCTCTTGAATTCTTTCTCATGAGCATGACAAGAACGGAGGAGGGGACAGCCCTCTCCCTTTGACTCAGGGCCGTCTGATAACATCTTTTCTGGTGTTTCTGGTGCCTATAACAACATTACCTTCCCAGGTAGCGCCAAGGGTTGCTGGCTCGGGGGCCTCGGCTGGGAACACCCCTTCTGGGTCCTGGTCTTCAATCTCTGTGTTGACATCTGCAGGCAGCTCCTCTAACACATTCGCCTTTTCTGGGAAGAGCTCATCCTTGGCCTCAAAGCTTTCCTTGACAAACAGCTCCATTTTCTGCTGCCTTTCTCCATCCTCATGAGGCTCTTCCTTCCCCTTCTCATTGACATCCACGTTCTCATTCTTGTCTGGCTCTGGCACCTCCCCTGGACAAAAGAAGTCCAAAGGTGAACTGGGAAATGTGCTGGGAGGACAGGGTGTCTGCACGTCTCCTGGGGACATGCAGTGAACTGCTGAGAGTGAGCCCAGGGAACCGTCAGGGACCAGTAGAGAACTGCCTGCAAGGGTGTTCATTCCTCTGTATGATTGCTGAATAGACAGTCTGGGTGTCTGTGAGAGACATCACTTAGCTCAGCCATCTAATGGAACAGGACACAGCCATTAAGGAGATAGTGCAGGAGGTTCTTAGGAGATGCACGCGGAAGTACATGGATTTAAGGGCCACTTTGCTGCCTTTACTTTCAACTGGTTCATCAGAACAGAAAAGTGTGTGTGTGTGTGTGTGTGTGTGTGTAAATGTTAAAAACCATCTGACCGAAAGATACAACATAGCTGTTCATTTTACTATTCTTTAAGCTTTTCTGAAAATAAAAATAAATCTAAATAAAAAGTTGAGAAAAGAAAAAAAAAACATACTGTAGGAGAAAATATATTTTATGGAAAATGTATTATGCTAATTCAAAAGAGTAGGCAGAAAGCAATATAATTATGCCATTTTTTATAAAGCACATATGTTACATGCCTGGGGGAAAGCCAGGAACTACCCACACTAAGTACTGAGTGATTCTTGCTGAGATTCTGTTGTTCCTGTGCTTTTCTTCATGTAGCGTACTCACACTTTGTAATTACGTGAAAAACAATACATGCCATTTAGAAACATACATGGAGACTCTTGCTTTTCTACTGGGCATAGGCCAAGGAAGGGGCTCTTACTCATTAAGGGGCTCTGAGCACCATCCCCAGGATCCCGCAGGCTTGCGCAAGGGCTGGGCCGGGACACAGCCAGGACTCACTCACTCATTAAAAACCTCCACCAGCCAAGGCCGGTTTGGCTCAGTGGATAGAGCGTCGGCTTGCGGACTGAGAGGTCCCAGGTTCAATTCCGGTCAAGGGCATGTGCCTGGGTTGCGGGCACATCCCCAGTGGGAGATGTGCAGGAGGCAGCTGATCGATGTTTCTCTCTCATCGATGTTTCTAGCTCTCTGTCCCTCTCCCTTCCTCTCTGTAAAAAATCAATAAAATATATTTAAAAAAAAAAAAAAACCTCCACCAAATGCTGGCCGGGGGCATTTGGTGTGGTGGGCAGGGGGCTCTGAGTCCTGGACTAGGGGCAGTAGGTTGGGTGGGACAGAGAGGGGGGCTCGTTTACACCAAACCTGGGAGTGGATAGAGTCTTGAAATGGGAGCGAGTGTGAAGGCAAGGCAGGGAGAGGATCCAACATCTTAGAAAAGAGTCTGTGGGGGCCAAGAACATTTCCCACGCCTGCCTGGCCCAGCCACGCCAGGAATAGGGTGGTCCTGAATCTTTCACAGGTCTAGCAGCTTTCATAGTCATCCAGCACAGAGGGAAACGATCTGTGCCACAGGGAGGCAGTGCAGCCACCCTTCAAAACGGACAGAATTGAATGGTCAAGGTGAAGCCATAAAAAGGAATGTAGCACTGATCACGCCACAATGTGCAGGAACCTCAGAAACATCCTGCTCAGTGAAAGAAGCCAGGTGCAAAAGGCTACATACTGTATGGTTTCATGTACAGTGGGGCCTTGACTTACGAGTTTAATTCGTTCCGAGACCGAGCTCGTTAAGGAGCTCGTTAACTCAAATTACTCTATCAACTCAATGCAAAAAATCGGCCGAGCTGGTATCTCAAAAAACTCGTTAGTCGGGACACTCGTAAGTCAAGGCCCCACTGTATATGAAATGCCTGGAAAGATTGGTGGTTGTCAGGGGCTGGGGGAGCGGGGAGTAGGAATCACTTCTAATGGGTTCAGGGTTTTATTCTGCGGTGAAGAAAATGTTCTCGAACTAGATAGAGGAGCTGTTTGTGCAACATTGTGAATGCACTAAATGCCATTTTTTAAATGGTTAATTTTGGCCCTGACTGGATTACTCAGTTGGTTAAGAGTGTTGTCCTGACACGCCAAGGTTGCAGGTTCAATCTCCGGTCAGGGCACATACAAGAATCAACCAATAAATGCATAAATAAGTGGAACAATAAATGGATCTCTCTCTCTCTCTCTCTCTCTCTCTCTCTCTCTCTCTCTCATCAATCAATAAAAATTTTTTAAATGGTTAATTTGATGTTATGTGAATTTCAACTCCGTTTTTAAAAAGGTGATTTCCACAGAGGTCTCTGACCAACACTGGGGCTGCAGCTCTCTGCACTTATCCTACAACCCCGCCACCAAGCTCACGCCCTAACAAGGCTTCCATGACAGACATCTTCATAGCCCGTGACTTCCTGTCACCTGCCATGTTAAGGCTGGTTTTCAGGTCCTTCATGATAGGACCTTCCCCAGCCCAGCTAACCTTATGTGATTTCCCAATTTACAATTTCGTTCCAGACCTGGGTGCTGGCACTCCTCCGTGCCCCCCAGGGAAACTGGAGGCTCCTTGGCGGAGGCAGAATCATATCCTCTCCCTCCACTGGGATCTGCACCCTGTCTGCGTGCTCATTCCACGCGTGCATGAGTGAGTGTGCCGCACCTGAGGTTGGTGTGCAGAAACCCATTTATTTATAAATGCTCCCCCACCCAGTGGGCAGAGAGCCCTTTCTATGTGCAGAAAAGTGTCGGACTCAAAGGGGCAATAGTAGCAATGAAAAATCTAATAACAATTAAAAAATCAAGATGACCATCACCCTCTGATTGAAACAAGGCATAAAGGGCACGGACTGTGCCTCCGTATATATGCTGGCTGACTTTACTGCTGTTAATGACACCAGGTGGAGAAATTAAGCACAATACCATATTGTTTTGATATGAGGTCATATTATGCATTTATGACGGAATAATAATGGCCCCACAAAGAGGTCCACGTCCTAATCCTAGAATCTGAGACTATGTAACCTCACAGGGCAAAAGGGACTTTGCAGATGTGATTAGGGATGGGAGACCATCCTAGAGTTACCCAGGCGGGTCCAATGTCATCACGAGGAGCCTAAAAAGAGGGAGGCGGGAATGTCAGAGCTAGAGAGACAGGAGGCTGTGACGATGGAGCAAGGGGCCGTGAGCCAGCCCATGCCGGCGGCTCCAGGAGCTGGAAAAGACAAGGAAACAGAGCCGCCCTGCAGCCTCCAGCAGGGGCTCTGCCCTGACACCTTGGTTTTTGCCCCGTTGAGACCCATGTCGGACTTGAGACTTTCGGAACTCTGGTAAGATAATAAATCTGTGTTGGGTAGGGCCCTAAATTTGTGGTCATCCGTTATGGCAGTCACAGAAAACCAATACATCATTTAATTTGGAAAACGGGCTGGTTTAACAAATTGAGTTTTAGTCACTAAAAGGGGTTTGAAACTGCACCTGAATGTTGGGGGTTTTCACCGCCCCAGGCAGGAGGGGGAGAGCAAGTGCAGATGGATCAGCAGGTCTGTGGGTAAATGGCCTAAACCCCCCGCCCCCCCCCACCCCCCGCCCCGAATCCCAGCGATGAAAGACTGCGAGTTGTGCGGCATGGATTTCCAACGTAAGCAGAGCTCCGTGTGGACGCATACCTTTCCCTTGGCTCTCCACCTGCCGCTTCCTCTCCTCAGCCCGCCGCTTGATCCTCGCCAAGGCTTCGATGCTGTCCGTGATCTTCTTCCGTTCCTGGTCCTCCCACTGCTGCCTCTCCTCTTTCTCGGCCGCGTACCCGCCCCTAGCCCAGGCCTCTGCGCAAGCTCTGTTTAGAGGATTGGAAAGGAAGCGGAAATCAGTGAGGTGTGAATTTTCATAGGTTCAGGGCAAATTCAGAACACTGTCGCGCCAAACTTGCTTATTTTCCCCAAAGTCAAACCAAAGCCACGTAGGACATGTGACAGAAGTTAACATATGGACACTTTAATCTTCAAAGTCGAATGGTTTGCCAGCCTTCTAGATGTGACACCAAAGCACAATGGACAAAAGAAAACATAGAGAGGTTGGTCTCCATCAACATTAAAATGTTTGTAATGTAAAGAATACCACAAATAAAGTGAAACCACCACCCACGGAACATGAGAAGGTATTTGCGAATCATATACCGGATAGGGACTTGTAGCTAGAATATATAAAGAAACTTACAACTCATTAATACAAGGATAACACAATTTTAAAATGGGCAAATGTGCCTTGGTTGGTGTGGCTCAGTTGGTGGGAGCATTGTCCCATGCACCAAAAGGTGGTGGGTTCGATTCCCAATCAGGGCACATATGGGAGGCAACCAATTGATGTTTCTCTCTCACATTGATGTCTCTCTCTCGCTCTCTCTCTTTTTCTCTCTCCCCCCCTCCCCCTTCCCCTCCCCCTCCCTCCCTTCCTGTCTCTGTAAAATCAATAAAAAAACATAACCTTGGGAGAGGATTTAAATCAATCACTACATAAATAACAATTGGCAAAGGTTAAAAGAAAGAGAAGATAAAACACTGACTGGGAGAAAATATTTGCAAGAAATATAATGGAATAATGACTTGTATCCAAAACATACAAAGAACTATTAAACTGTGAAACTTAAAAAAAAGGGGGGGCGGGCCTAAAGATCTGGACACCTCACCAAAAAAAGATATATAGATGACAAATAAGCATATGAAAAGCTGTTCCATATCATATGAGATTAGAGAAATACAAATTGAAAGGAGATACCACCACACACCTATTACAATAGCTAAAACCCAAAACACTGTCAGCACCAAATGCTGGCGAGGATGGGAGCAACAGCTGCTCTCATTCACTGCTGGTGGGAATGCAAGGTGGGGCAGCCCCTTGGGAAGCCAGTTTGGAAATCATGGTGCTACACGCAGTTTACATATAACCCAGCACGTGTTTACTCAAATGAGTTGAAAACAAATGTCCGCACAATCCTGTACACAAAAATCCATAGCAGCACTAGTCACAAGAGCCAAAAATTGGAAACGACCCACATGTCCATTGACTGATGGGTATGTACACGGTGGCACATCCACACAGAATGTTATCTTGCAATACTACTTTGGAATGAATGAATGACACCTGCTACATGTGGGTGAACCTTGAAAACGTTAGGCTATGTGAACAAAGCCAATCAAAAAAGGCCACACAGTGTACGATTCCATTTACAGGAAATGTCCAGAATAGGCAAGTCTACAGGAATGGAAAGTAGATTTGTGATTGCCTAGAGCTGGGAGACGGGGAATGGGGCGTGACTGCTAATGAATAAGGGTTCCTTTTTAGGGGCGTGAAAATATTCTGGAATCAATTGTGGTGGTGGTGGTGGTGGTGGTGGTGACTGTGCGAATTTACTAGAGCTGCCCTTGTATGGGGAAAGATAGACCCTTAACAAGGGAACCAGCACGTTAAAGGCTGTTGCGTCCTAAGGAAAGAAACCAGGCGGAAGAGACTCCCAGAGCAAATGTGCTATTAGACAGGGTGGTGGGTCATGGGAGATTTTAATAAGATCACAGGTCAGCAGGCACCTGCCAGCACCTGTGGTGCGTGTCCCAGGCAGAGAGAAGAGCAAGTGCCCAACAGGACCAGCTAGTGAGTGGTGGCCTTAGGACTCAAACACAGATGAGTCTGACTCCGGCACTGGAGTCGTGCTGCACTGTACAGGGGGATGGATCTCACTGTGAAGGTTTGTCTCATATCCTGTTTTCACTTTTAACTGATCTCAGTTAAAAGCACAGATAACAGTGGTGACGATCTACATGGCAGTCCTGAATTTATTGTTCTTCATATAAAAAGAGCTCTTATGAATTAATAAGAAAAATCCCTCCCAGAACAAAGGAAACTGGGAGGAAGCCATGAGTGCAATACTCCTAGAGGAGGCAACATCAGTGTCTGACCAAGATGGTAAATGTAACCAACCTCATCAGTTATCTAAACATACAAATTTAAAAGGAGACACCATCTTCACTCATCAATTCACCTGGCAAAGATTTCCTTCACATGGCAATGTCTGGTAATGCTATAAATTGTTACAAACTTTCTAGAAAACTATATATATATATATATATATATATATATATATATATATATATATACACATATATATGGCTAATATGCAAAGTGTCCCCACAGGAGTTCGACAGGGAGAACAGGAGTTCAATCACTTGCTATGATGTGTGCTGACCACCAGGGGGCGGTGTGAAACATAGCGGGTGACCAGTAGCAGTGGCAGGGCACTAAGGGGGTGTGGGAAGGAGGAGGTGGGGAGTTGGGGGGGGGGCGGAACTGCACAGTGATGGCACATGATGGCAATGGAAGGAGGAGGTGAGGAGGCAGGGAACCTAATCAGCCCTGATCGCCTGCCAGGGCTAGGGACCCTACCCATGCACAAATTTCGTGCACCGGGCCTCTAGTTAAAAAATATAAGCACCTTTGCCCTGGCCGGCTTGGCTCAGTGGATAGAGTGTCAGCCTGTGGACTGAAGGGTCCCAGGTTTGATTCCAGCCAAGGGCACATGCTTGGGTTGCGGGCTCAATCCCCATTAGGGGTTGTGCAGGAGGCAGCCAATCAATGATTCTCTCTCATCATTGATGTGTCTATCTCTCTCTCCTTCTCCCTTCCTCTCTGAAATCAATAAATATATATTTTTTAAAGTTTTTTAAAAATATAAGCACCTTTAAAAAGGCTCAGACCACATTCTTTGATCCAATAATACAACTCCTTGAATTCCAACCTGAGGAAATAATCAGCAATGAGGCCAGAGACTTATATGCAACTTATATGTAGACTTATACAGTGCTATATTTATCAAAGGATTATTTTTTAAAAACCTATGAATAAAGGCTCAAAAATAGAGAATTTTCTATTATAAATGATTATGTAACCATTAAACCTATTCCCAAGGAATTTAATGATGGGTGAAAATGCTCAAAAATCAGAATTTTTAAAAAGTTTAATAAGTATGTGTAACTATTACATATTCACATGTGATCACCAGGCTTTTCTCCTCCTTACCTGTCCTTTGGAAAAACTGGTCTGTCATCCAGGAATGTTAAGTGTTTTAGTCGAATAGTGACTGTCCTTCGATAGTTAGGGATGTTCTTAATAACTGGGTTTCCCATCAAATTCAGGACACGCTGTAAGCAAACACGCAGAACCAAATTAATTGCTAAAAAATGGATGTGGTTTTAATATTGTATATGGGCCGTGCTCTAAGAATGAACAAAAAGGAAGTGCCAACATCATGTCCTGCTGACTGTATTAGCGAAGCCAGAGGGTGTCATTGTTGTTGTGCCATCGGAATGGGCGGCCCTTTCTTTTCTCGAACTTCAGATCCTCAGTCTTGGTGTCCTTCCAGAACAATCCTATAAAACGTTTCCTGAGCCCCTTTCCAAGAGCGGTGATTACATTAGCTTTGCTTACACAATCTCTTCGATTGAAATTGATCTCAGTCTAATTGACTGTTTTTCTCCTTCCCAGCCAGGGCCCATTTTAAGAAAAGTACACAGCAGCTAGACAGGTAAGGAGCAGTGAATAAGGGGACCGGATGGGAAGTGCCCACTGATTGACCGCGAGGACCTTGCTCGCCAGGCCTACAGGTCTCCTGGAGGTCATGTTGGGGCCACGAAAGAGAAAGATGTGCGGTGACAGCATGCCGTCCCCATCCTTAAAGGCTGGCCCCTCCTCTTCCGCCATGAAACTCAAAGAAGGCAAATAGGTAAGGAGACGTGTGAGTGAACATTTAAAATGGCTTAAACTGATGAAATATTTTTCACAGCTAAAGTGGGTTTTGTTGGAGAAAGCAAATACATTGCTGACTAGTTAGTTTAGCCTTTCCCCAACTTCATTCTCATACTGCCTTCACGTTCTTGTCATATTCCAAGCGACCTCTCCTTGTGGGGCTGGGGTGGTGGGCGCCGTATGCTCTAGCTGCATGGGGTGCAGGTATTCTACACCAATCGTAGCACACGCTATAAGGCAGACTGCTTTTCTTATGGGCATCATATATTGAAGTCCTAACCCCCGGGACCTTAGAACGTGACTGTATTTGGAGATAGGGCCTTTCAAGAGGTCAATTACGATGAAATGCGGCCACAGTGATGGTCCTCATCCAATACGACTGGTGTCCTTATAAAAAGAGGAGACTGGAACACAGACACACACAGAGGAGAGGAGACACCAAAGAGAGAGGCCTCAGAATGAAACTAACCCTGCTGACACCTTGATCTTGGACTTCCAACCTCTAAAATTATGAGAAAATAAATTTCAGTTGTTTAAGCCCCCAAGTCCACGATAATCTGTCATGGCAGCTAAGCGAGAAAAAGATATTATAATGTTATACCGCTTCATATTAACACCATGTGCTAGTGATTCTAAACTAGTTCTTTTTAACAGTCTCCTCTGTAATGATTCCTGAGCTATTTTTCTTTTAATTGACTCCCTTTTTCCAGACTTATCAATGCCCTCAGCAGTAAGCAGTGAGCTTGAGGCCTTCCGGTGCTATTTTAAATATTTCTCCTCGTACACATGGCAACCCATACACCCCCAAAAGCAATGAAGCCATCAAAGGCCACTGAGGTTGAGTCAAAAGGACACAGGTGCTACCTGGTCAGGTTGTCATGGGCCGGAAGATGGGACCATTTGAGCATCCAAAATGAAAATGATAGCCAGGGTTAAATCATATCAAATGCTGTATGTGTAAGTCCCTGAGTTCATAAGGATACTGAAAAAGAAAAACCCTTCATTGTCACCATTAATGGTTGCCAGGTTCCTGACTCACTTCTCTGAAAATCAGTCAATAAATAAAAAAGAAGCAGACACTTTCCCTCCTTTTCTGTATGAACTGTACAGTGTTAGGGAACCACTAGTTGATGAGGGAAGGTTCTTCTTTGTAGAAGCATTCCAGCTAATGATAAAGGCAGAAGGAATAAGTAGAAAATGGCCATCACGTGACTCCTGATGAAATAGAGCATCCAGGCAATGCCCATCAGTGGCAGCTAAGATAATCAGGAGAAAGAACAATGGGGACTATATAATGGCTCGGTCAGGCTGACAATACATGAACCCATTACTCAATATTAAAATTACAAAAAGAGAAGCCATCAGAAATTACATGCCCCATGATGCGATGCAACAGCACACCCAAAGTTAAATATTGAATCTGGATATGATGACGCCTCTGGCTCCATTATCATTCTCCAAGAAATACTGGGCACAGCAGTACATGTTAAACAACACCACGAGATGCAATCAACCAAGTCCAGAATGTGGCCCATGCCAGGGGAAGGACCTGGTTTCTTTGACAGAGTAATGGGGGTGGGGGTGGGGGTGGGGGAAACAGGGAAGGGAAACAGTGAGAAATCGGGAGATTTGAGATACAAATAATCCAAACGTGATGCATAGTTCTGGTTTGGATTTGAACAACTCAATGGTCAAAATGCATTCTTGAGACAAATGGGAAAAACTGAACATGGTCTGCATTTTAAATGTAGTTACTACATTATTTTAGATATAATAACAGTACTTTGTGCTAAAAAAAAAAAAAAAAGTCCTTATCTGTTAGAGATACACACTAAAATATTTGTGGGTGAAATGACATAGCTTCTGGCGTTTAAGATGCTCCGGCTAAAAACACAGAGAGGGAAAGAATGTGGCCCGACCAGCGTGGTTCAGTGTTTGAGGATCAACCTATGAACCAGGAGGTCTTGGCTCCATCCTGGGCACATGCCTTGGTTGTGGGCTCGATGCCCAGTGTGGGGTGTGCAGGAGGCAGCGGATCGATGATTTTCTCTCATCATTGATGTTTCTATCTCTTTCTCCCTCTCCCTTCCTCTCTGAAATCAATCAATAAAAATAGTAAAAAAAAAAAAAAAAAAGAGGGTGAAAGGAGAGAGAGAAGAAGGGGAGGGAGGGAGGGAAGAAGGGAGAGGAGAAGAGATTTAACATCTAAAGAACATGAACGTGTGCCAGGTTTGTGTGTTTTACCAAATCAGGCATGCTCTCCAGGATGCTCAGGATCTCTGGGTCACTCAGCCGATTGTGGGAAAGATCAAGGACGCAGAGCTTCAGGCACTCCTTCAGGTGCCGGACGTCTTCCACCGTCTCCAGGTGATTGTGGGCTATCTGCAGCGTGTTCAGGGCTGGCAGACAGGCTGGAAGGCGAGGTCAGCAGAAGTAAACAACGGTGGCACGAAAAGGTTTCCTGCCCAGAGCAGACCATTTTAGAACCGCCCCCAGGGAACGCGGTGGACATAATGGCATTGAGAAAGGCCCGGCGTGGGGCGTGCTCACAGAGGTTTTCAATGGTCTTGATGTAATTGTTGCTGAGGTTCAGGGCATCCAGTTTCTGCAGGGGTTCGAGGTTCTCGATTTTATGAAGCAAGTTCACTTGCAAGAAGAGGCAACGCAGTTCGGTCTGGGCCTCCAGGTTCTCGATTTTCTGTATTCCGTTGGACTCCAGCCAGAGACAGCGCAGCCCCGTGTACTCTTCCAAGTTCTCGATGCGATCGAAACCTAGCGAGAAGGGGGTTTCGCCGTTAAGCTCCTCCATGCACACAAGGGACGCAGGAGTCGCCCTTGTTTGTGCCTCCCTGCCTAGCACCCACACCTCCTTCCTTTAGGGACAGTACTGCTCCTTTGCTTTGGGGAACGTCCCTCTTTGTCACCACCCCCTGACTCTCAGAGTCGTGATGATTCATTCTGGGCCGGTCAAGCTTAGACACATGGGGCCAACATAGATGAATCCTGGGGAGTGTGGCTGGCTCCGTTGGGAAAAGGCAGTCTTTATGTTGGAGGGGGCCGGCTTGGCAAGGGGAGCCGAGCAGTGCAGCAGCCACCTTCATGGCTGGGAGTGGGTGCAGGTGAGGGATGACTTGCCCGAAATGAGTCAGAGGGAAGCAGGGCCAAGCAAAGGAGAGAGAGAACCTCGTGAAGACTCACTGTGAGCACCAGGATGTGCTAAGCCTGAAGCTAGTGCCAACTGTGGGTCTTGTTTTAATTCATTTTTCAGTTTGATGAGCCAAACTGAAGATTAGCAAAACAAACTGTAGACAGCTGGAGTGTAACCTCCTGAGAGAGTGAGCCAGAACCGCCCAGCTAAGTCATTCCCAGATTCCTGGCCCCCGGAAACATGTGAGATGAGGAATTGAAGTTGCTAAGTTTGGGGATAAGTTGTTAACATGGGCACATCTCTCCCCAACTTTCTACCTCTCTGACTCCTTCTACTTGGTCTAACCTACTGGATCCCCTTCTTCTTCCCTCCTCTTTTTTTTATTTTTAAATATATTTTATTGATTTTTTTACAGAGAGGAAGGGAGAGGGATAGAGAGTTAGAAACATCGATGAGAGAGAAACATCGACCAGCTGCCTCCTGCACACTCCCTACTGGGGATGTGCCCGCAACCAAGGTACATGCCCTTGACCGGAATCAAACCTGGGACCCTTCAGTCCGCAGGCCGACGCTCTATCCACTGAGCCAAACCGGTGCTGGCCCTTCCTCTTAAATATTGGTCCCCTGGGATCTGCCCCCCTAAGCAGAGAGTTTTGGGGCAGGAGGACAATGTGGAGGCGAGGAAACTAGCTGGGAGCTGTTCCAAACTGTAAAGGCATTTGTGCTGCACGGGCCTCCGTCAACCTCCCTGGCCCAGCACTCCTCACAGTGGCTGCACCATCCCCCGGGACACCAAAGACACCTCTGCCTATCATCTCTGTGTGTCTCTAGAACTGAGCAACGCCAGGCCCACAGGAAGCCCTCAGCACATTTACTTAATAACACGGAGGTCTGATGAGGCAGGTGGGCCATCCCCAATTCAGCCCTGCCTGGGAGTTATCACTCTTGATCAATGCAAGGAATATCCCTGTCTCTGAACCCAAAGTTAAGTTTATATTAAGATACTGGAACCAGCCCTGAGCCCTTGGGGATGCCTCTAGTTATACGTCTCCATTCTGAGAGGCACCCCCCAACCCTCACCCTTTGTTTTCTGTGCCAGTCTTCGATCCTGCACAACATATCTCTCCCAAACCCAAAGCATTTACAACTAGCTTCCGGCTTGAAAAATTATTAAGTCTTTGGAAAACTTAGAAGATATCCATGTGTTTCCTTTGTATCCATAGAACCAGTGGCCCCTTTATAAACGCTAAGGTAGGATTTTTTCTTCAAAGAAATATTATTGCTTTTCCAAAAATCTCCACTGAACTCTCTGAAATTTCTACTGAAATGTAATTTGAGAACACCAGATGATCCCTGCAAGTAATTGTTATGCCACCAGCATCTCTCTGCCTCTCCCAGAGCCTCACCTTTAAAGTGTAAATACAGCGTATCATTCAACGCTGGGGTGATATACAGCTTGTGTTGCTTGCAGAGTTTCTGCAGGAAGTGTTTAGTCATTCTGTTAAATGGGAAACACGAACAAGCAATTTATTTGAGTTTTTCAGCTCTGAAATATATTCCAAAAATTGTTTATCACATCCATTCCTTCCCCCAAATCCACGACATCCTGAATGCCTGATAGCTATTTTATGTTCTTTGGGGTTTTCTTTTGTATAGCTTTCAAGGCCTCATCTAATATTACTTTCAGCATTCTTAAAAGTTGAAACATGTGCTCTAATAAAAATACTTTTAATATCGTGTCATCCGTAACTACTGATGTTTCTCTCTCCAGGTCTGGCATTAAAGTTTGATAGATCGTGGTTAGTTGTGCCACAGAGGCCGGCCATCCTGTCTCCAGCACTACAGACATTGTGCATTTAATCGCCACGAGTCTCATTTTCTTTCTTCTTTTTCTAATCCTCACCCAAGGATATTTTTTCCCATTGATTTTTTCTTTTTTTTTAGAGAGAGTGGAAGGAAGGGAGGAAGGTAGGGAGTGAGGGAGGAAGAGAGTGAGAGCAGGAGCTACAGCGAGAGAGAAATCGCTGTGAGAGAGACACATCAATTGGTTACCACCCGCATGCACCCCGCCCAGGGACCAGGGATCAAACCTGCAACCCAGGTACGTGCCCATGACCAGGAATCAAACCTGAGGCCCTTCAGTGCACGGGTCAACGTTCTAACCACTGAGCAACATGGACCAGGGCTGAGCCTCATTTTCTTACCTGTACAATGGGGTGATTATACCATCTCTCTTACTTGGTAACTGTGTGCTGTAAATGACAGCACCACCCCCACATACCTGGGGCCTTGATCTTCCTTGTCATTTCTTTGGTGTGCTAAGCAACCGTCCAACCTGCTGTCACCGCTTTGTTTCTGCTCACTTTTGTAGGATGTGTCAGATGTGTCACATGTTTCCTTAGGATCATTGATTTCTGTACAATTAAGAGATTGGGTCTATGGAGATCAAGAAATGTATTTAAAAGTTCTCCCAATTTCAACGTCAGTAATAACTGTCTGCTTATAGTATGGAACACTAGTACTCATTACATGTATAACAATCTTCAAGGGCTGTGGAATTTTCGCTTCTAGGTAGGTCCTCGGTAAAAGCTCTTGTACAGATGCACAGGGAGACATGTACAAAGATATTCATTTCTGCATTATTTGTAACAGCCCCAAACTGTTAACAGTGCAAATGTCCATCCATAGGGACTAGTTAAAATAAAACAATGGATTACTATTCTGCCTTGCAAAGAATGCACTGGAGTTAGTTATATCACTAGTATGGCTTAATTCTCAGAAACATCTGTGGAATGAAAAAAAAACCAAGTTTAATAATAAGCACAGAATACCACCTATATAAAAAATTAAAAACACAAAACCAATGCTATACATTGAGAACATTACACACACACACACACACACACACACACACAGTACAGGGAGGGAGGGAGGGAGGGGAGAGAGAGAGAGAGCGAGAGAGAGAGAAAGAGAGAGAGAGAGAGAGAGAAAGAGAGAGAGAGAGATTGATTAAATTAAGGAATCCATACAAAATTCTGGAGAAGGGGAGAAAGAAATGGGACTAGGATTAGGGGCTGGGGATGTCAATCTGAAATATATGATGACAGAAGATGATTTGACTTTGGGTGGTGGGCACACAATGCAATGTATAGATCATGTATTATAGAATTGTTCACTTGAAGCCTATATGATCTTATTAAACAATGTCACCTCAATGGATTTAATGAAAATTGTCTGAGCCCAGCTGGGTGTGGCTCAGCAGTTGAGCATCGACCCAGGAACCAAGAGGTCACCGGTTCGATTCCCAGTCAGGGCATATACCTGGGTTTCGGGCTCAATCCCCAGTATGAGGCGTGCAGGAGGCAGTCAATCAATGATTCTCTCTCATCATTGATGTTTCTATCTCTTTCTCTTTCTCTCCCTTCCTCTCTGAAATCAATAAAAATATATTTTTAAAAAGAAAACTATCGGAGATGTTTTATTTTTTTTTAATTTAAAAAGACTTCAAGTGAATTGATAAAAATATTAATCATTTTCAGTTCTTAGTGGTAATACATGAGTGGTAATACCAATACAACAGAGTACTGGTATAATGTTCTCTGTTCTTTTTAAAAAGTTCTCAAAAGAAAAAACATAAAGAGTAACAAAAATAGTGGAAATGAGCACATTCAAATGGGCACTTAATATTTTTAAAGGCTCATCAAAATTGGCCCATTCAAATACACTTAATCTTAAGGGTCGCTGTGTGTTTATGAAGTCTATTGAATGAGGATCTTCTCTCCATGCATGGGACTGGGTCTCACACTTCCCCATTTCCCACTGCATATAATGCTCAGCCACAATAAAACACCAGATAAAGGTTTGTGAAATAAAGAATACATAATTGCTTGATTATATTAATAACAAGAGCTATGACTTATTAATGGCCCACTGTATAACAGAAACTCTATAATTATCCCTGTAATAATATCCCTGCTTGCAGATGAGGAGACTGCTCCACAGAGAGATTAAGATCTGGGCCAAGAGCCATAAAGCTGGCCAGTTGCAGAGCTGCAATCTGAACCGAGTGTGAGCTGCTTGCCATAGAGCAACATGGCTTTCCAACAGCTCCTTGTATAGGGCTTGCCTGGACAGTTGATGCTCAAGATATATTTGTTGACTGGGTTCAAAAAATGAAACAAGCTTTGTGCAGTGGCAGTATCGTAGCCAATGAGGTTTATCTGAGACGCGATTATTGCTAATTGGAAAAAAGAAACATAAATCAAGTAGTCTCTTTATCTAGTCACTAACAGGTTTTCCTTAGGGCCCCAAGCCAAGAGAGAGCAGAGGCTGAAGCCTGTTTTCTATGCCCATTCTGGGAAACTGGCAAGGAGTCACCTGCTAACCCCAGAACCGTCAGCTCTTCGTTCACTCGTTCTATCATGAGTCAGGCACTGGCATGGACACTGTGAGTTCAATTAAGATGTCCTGCTCTGGCATCTTTTGATCTTAAATGGCGATAGCAAAGAAGGGATACATTCAAAACAAAAAAAGTTAGGTGGGGAGAGAATGGTGTGTTGGGTAAGGTCTTGGGCTCTGGCGTCAGATTGTTGCCTGAGTCTATTCTGTTATTCTGGCTGAGGGTAATCTGTTTGAAGCAAGTTCTATAACCTCAGTTTTCCTCATCTGTATGAAATGGGGAGAGGAGTGCCTATCGCAGAGGGCGGGTGTATGGCTCAAATGCAGCGAACCCTTGGCGCGCATCCTTTAATAAGTGTGGGCCGCTATTATTATTATTATTGTTATTGCTGGCTGTGAAGATCAGGTATGTGGTGTTGGGCGCAGCCCGTCGCCCCCCTCGCCTCCCTGGGGCGGCGGTCAGCACCTTCCTTGCGGCTCCCTTGGCCTGCGTTCCCGTGGTCACCCGCAGACTCCTCCACGCCAGGCACCACACCCGGTTCCTGCGTGCAGTCCTGTTTCTCTTCCTCGTCCGCCGTGGGCTCCAAGACCTCGGGGTGCATGTCTATTCCGGAAACACCGAACACCCCGTAGCAATGGGCACCCCGTTTGGCCGGGTCGCTACGGCCCCAGCTGGACCAGAGAGGTCCGGCTTTCCTTCCCCACCTGCACTCGCGCCCGCGTCGTTGGCAGCCCAACGCTTCCTTGGTCTCCACGGCAACCGCTGCACATGCGCACTCGGACGGACCCGCGCACCCGGACGCCTAGGGCGGACCTCCGGACGGCTCTGCCCCGCCCCTCCGGCGCCGGCGCGGGTCACGTGGGAGCGCGGCCGGCGGCAGCTGCGGCGGCTGTGACGGGGGCGGAGTTCACGCGGGTCTGGTGGGAGAGGCTCGGAGACTGCGCCACCTGTGCAGGTACCGCAACCCCCTCTAACCCCCCCCCCCACCACCACCGCGCTAGCGTCCGTACCCCAGATCCGCCTAGTGCCCCTGGACGCCTGCGGGGCCTTGGCCCTCTTCTCCCTCCGCGCCCCACCACGCCCCCCGGGACCCGTGCTCTTGCGCGTCGCCCGCACCTCGGGCCCCTTCGTCCCTCGCGGACCTTAAACCTTCGCCCCAGCACCTCTGCCTCCAGACCCGTGTCCTCAGCCCCACAGCGCCCTTCCCCAACTCCACGCCGGCGTTGCACCCCAGAGGTCCCTCTCTGCTGGGCCCGTCCTTTCCCACCTCCACCCCCACTCCCACCTCCCACCCCCACGCAAATCTAGGGCCCCACCCACCTCAAGCGCTGGGCACCCCCTCTCCCCCAGACCGTGACACGGTTGCTCCCCACGCAGCTCTGAAAAATCATCCCCTTTGTACGTGCTTCTTTATTCTCATTACCAAAGGACTTGGTTTGAGTGGGATTTGTGGTCTTTGTTCTGAGAAGTAATTCAAAATAAGGTAGCGCTCCAAGAAAGGCCACCACCAGTTCCAGAGCGGTGGTCCTTTGCTCAGGCCTGCTGGACCCTGACTGCTGCTGGGGAGTGGGGTTCTGGAGACCAGTGAGGCTGCCCCTGCCCAAAGGAACGTGCAGCCCCGACACAGCCCAGCCAACCCTGCAGCCTGGTGATGCCAGCAGGATGCCCACCTGGGGGTCTCACAGTGGGGCCGCCAGCCAGCCAGGGTTCTGGACTTTCATAGACCTTGATCTGAATCCCCACCGCCCCATTCTTAGCTGAGAGCTCCTGGTATGTCTCTTTACCTCTGTAAGCTTCAGTTTTCCCATCTGTAAACTGGGGGTGATTATAACACTGCCTTATATGGTTGATGAGAGAAAAAGTGAGCCGACAGGAATAAAGCACTTAGTCTTTTTGCATAAAGCCAGCTCTCAGGTTTTTTTTATAATTTATTTTAATTGATTTCAGAGAGGAAGAGAGAGAGAGAGAGAAAGAAAGAAACATCAGTGGTGAGAAGCATTGATCGGCTGCCTCCTGCACGCTCCTACTGAGAATCGAGCCCGCAACCTGGGCATGAGCTCTGACCAGGAATCCAGCCAGGACCTCCTGGTTCATAGGCCCATGCTCAACCACTGAGCCACACTGGCCAGGCCTCACTCTCAGTTTTAACCCTGAGCACCACAAGTAGCCAATAGCTAACATTAAACACTTAATTATAGTGGCTAATCGCTAAAGCTTATTGATCACTTGTGTCTCCGTCACTGTTCTAAGTGGTTTATGTGTATGACCTTATTTAATTCTCGTTATAATATTAGGCAGGAACTATTATCCCATGTTTATAGGTGATGTCAGAAAAGCTCAGAGGTAAAGTAACTTCACCTTCACCCAAGACACCCAGCTTGGGAACCCCGATTCAAATCCAGAGAGTCTTCAGTTGTTTGTGGTTTTAATCTCTACAATAATCGTCTAGGGGGGCATGGTATTGTTTTTTAATTGAGATAAAAGTTAATAGCGTAAGATTTACCATTTTAGCCATTTAAAAGTAAGTATACTTTTCATAGAAGCATATTCAGTGTGCAACCATCACCACTATTTAATTCTAGAACATTCCCATCCCTCAAAGAAATTGCACCCCATTAGTGGGCACTCCCTATTTTCCACTTCACTGTCCCCTGGCAACCCTAAGCTTTCTGTCTCTGTGGATTTGCCTGTTCTGAACATTTCATATAAATGGAATCGTAGTATTTGGCCTTTTCTGTCTGGCTTCTTCCACTCAGCATAATATTGGAAAGGTTTGCCCAGGTTGTAGCATGTGTCAGTCCTTCATTCTCTTATCCATTGTGTGTACAGACCACATTTCCTTTAGCCATTCATCTGTTGATGGACATTTGGGTTGTTTTCACTTTTTAGTTACAGTGAATAGTGCTGCTGTGAACGTGGCTCTGCAAGTTTTGTGTGAGCATAAGTTTTTAGGTATCTTTGGTACACACCTAGGAATAGCTGCTATCATTTTAATTCCTACTTCACAAGCGGAAACCTGACACTGAGGAGTATTGGATCTTGAATGAGCACTTAACCCAGCTTCTACTTAGCTTCCCATTAATTCAGTTTAGTGGTCTACTAACAATTGGCAAAGGAAGGTAAGGAAATTCCAAAAAGTCATGATACACCAACAATAACTTGTCACAGTGCTGACACAAAGTTTGAGAAACTTCTTAAGATTTTTTCTCCTCAAGAATGAAATTTGAGCTTTTAATGTAAGGCAGTATTTATTAAATATTGTATAATAGCACCATGCCAGGTCCTGAGGAGGAATATTAAAGATGGGTCTGACCCCAGCTTCACACCTTCACAAAGCTGCAGGAGGATTACAGACTTAAATCGGAAGAACAAAACTGTGAAAGCATTTAGAAAATAATATAGGAAAATATCTTTATAACCCGGGGCTAAGACAGGATTTCTGAAGTCAAACAGAAGCACAAACAGTACAGAAAAAAGACTGATACATTTGACAACATTAAAATTAAGACATTCCATTTATTGCATGCACTACAAAGAGACAAAACATACAGAGAACTGGTAACTAGAATATAGAAAGAATTCTTATAATTCTGAAACAAAAAGACAACATAATAGAAATAAGGCAAAAGCAAGGAATAGGCATTTCATAGATGAGAAAATAGCACATAAACACTAGAAGAACGCCAGTCAACCTTGTTAGTAATCAGGAAATGTAAATTAAGACCATATGAGATCTCATTTCACAACACCCTGTGGGCAGAAGGTGAACTGTTGGACATTGCAGCCTTTGAGGAAGAGGCGGTGTGAACTTGCTGTTGGTGGGTGTGCAGAACGTTCAGCCACTTGGGCAGTGTCTCCTTGAATACTGGATGGCTTATGGCCTAGCAATTTGACTCTTAGGCTTATCTCTTCGAGAAACTTACACATGTGCTCAGGAGATGTGCATAAACATGTCCATGGCACCTCTGCTTACAATTGTAAAGTAAAAACCAGCGAAACAACCCAAATGCCCAACAGCAATAGAATGGATAGATGAATAGAATGTGTTTGTACCGTGAGATAGTGTGCGGCCGTGAAAGGGTAACCAACAACCCCAGGATGAATCTTGAAAACAATACTGAGTGAAAGAAACAAGTCTCCAAAGAATACATGCAGTGTGACTCCTTTATATAAAGTTCAAAACCAGGCAGAACTGAATACAATTATTTCAGAATCGAATCCGTGCTGGGGTAATAGTACAACTATTAATAACAACAACTTGGCAATGATTATGTCGGAATTTAGGCAAGTGGTCGGTCCCCCCACCCCCATCCCCACCCCCCAGGATGGTGGGAGGGGATATATGATCAGGGCAGAAGCAGATGGGGCTTCTAAGACTGGCTTTATTTGTGAAGTAGGATGACTATATGGGAGTTTTGTTTTATTCTTTGAACTGTGCATAATATGTTTTACAACTTTTGTGTGTATTTTTCAATTTTTCTAAATTACAGAAAAGTTAATTTTAGTTAACATTTCCTGTTCTCCAAAGTCCTGTACTCTAGTTGGGGAACCAAGATAGAGACAAGTTAAGTAGAATGCAGAGCAGTGGGGTAAGTGCCGTGTGGGTGAGACAGACAAGACACTCAGAGGTGGGGTTCCTGCGGGGAGCTAGGAAGGAAAGGAAAGACACGTGTGGGCCTCCGGTTTACCCTCAGGGCCTGGGGGGTCATCGGTGCTCGTCAGTGAGTGCTAGGATTCAACTGGGGAGAAGGAAGGGGACTTGAGCTGTTCTTAGAAGGACTGATAGGATTTGAGTGCTGAGAGCAAGGCAGATTCAGACTCTGTGTGAAGGAAGTAAGATTCCTATACAAAATGTTAATGAAAATAAAGTCCAAGCCCTGCAGCCTTACTGGAAAGTTTTACAGTACCGGCTGCTGATGAGCATGGCGAGGACCACCTCAGGTCTACCCGAGTCATTGAAGACCATAGGAATCTCCGAGGCTGCTTTCTGGTTCCTGAATACCCTTGAAGGTTTTGCGTTAAAGGGTATTGCAGGATTTTCAGCTTGTCTCTATGCTCCTAAAAATTAGACTGACCGTCCATCCGTCTTTTCGTCCATCCATCCATCCATCGTATGGCACTGTAACAGATAACCACACACTTAGTGGCTTAGAACAACACAGATTTGTTCTCTTACAGTTCTGGAGTCAGAAGTCTGAAGTCACTTTGATGTGGCTAACGTCAAAGAATCATTTCCTTGCCTTTGCCAGGCTCTAGAGGTGCCTGCATTCCTTGACCTGTGACCCCTCTCTCCATCTTCAAATCCTGCAGCCAGCATCTTTAAATCAATCTTTCTCTCTCTGCCTCTCTGACTTCTGCTTTTGGTCACATCTCCTCTGACTCTAACCGTTCTTCCTCCTTTTAATAAGGATAAGTGTGATCACATTAGACCCACACAGATAATCCAGGATCATCTCCCCATCTCAAGATCCTTGACTTAATCACACCTGCAGAGTCCCCTTTGCTACATAAGGTGGCTTGTTTACGAGGTTTGAGCATTAGACTGGGCATCTTGAGGGCCGTTATTCAGAGGACCACAACACCTTGCGGGTGCTGCTTTGTCTTCTTCCCATGATACTTGCTTTATTTTCTTTGGAACATTTTGGCCAATCTGTCTTATGTTCCTTTACCATCCTCCCCAGGTGTCATTCCTTTGGATAGCCTGGCGATGTCTGTGTCTCAGCCAGGTCACTTTTCCCAGAATTCTTCATTCCTGGCATATGGTGGACCCAAACCCACAATATCTCCAAGGTGTGCCTGTAGTGGATTCGATTGCCCTTTCATTGCTGAGTTGAGTCAGCTAAACTGTAGGTCGGGCTAATGTTACAGGCCACGGCAGTTGTGCTTTGAGGAGGTGACTTCACTCCTTGGAGTTTTGGCCATAATTTTCCCATGACACTTTTATAGTTGCAAAAGTGTAACGGAAAGACAGAGAAACATCCATGTGAGAGAGACACATCGACCAGTTGCCTTTGGCACACCCCTGGACGGGATCGAGCCTACAACCGAGGTACATGCCCCCAACCGTAATCAAACCCCGGACCCTTCAGTCCATGGGCCGATGCTCCAACCATTGAGCCAAACAGGCTAGGGTGAGAATGCCACCTTTTTACCAAAGATAAACATCTACAATCAACATTATCACCCAAAGTCCATAGTTTACCTGGAGGCCCTTAAGTGTGTGATGAACTAACCCTGGTGAATATCGCCTTATCCAAGTAAAAAATGCCTGACAGCTAACAGAATTGCCCTTCTTTTCCTGTTTTGGGGCCATTCTGAATTACTGTTTTCCTGCTCACTATTTTCCTTAATATTTTACAGTTTCTCACTTGATGTTTTAGTTTTCTGTAGAAATAAGAAAACAAAGCTTTATAATAACTTTTAAGGCAGGTTGTAAAGGGACCAGAATTTTCCTGTGATTTAGTATTGCTTTCTAAGTAACAGATTTCTCAAAGTTGTAGACAAATACCTATCCACAGAGAAATTAACTAGTCAAACCCCAAAGCAAGTTAAATGCAGCTGTGCATTTCTTGATTGGCTTCTAGACTTAAATGTGTCATACACTCCTTTAAAACTGTTTCCATGAGCTTTCCTGGAATTTAGTGGCTTTGGGGGAAGTCCTGATTTTTTCTTTTATTAAAAAGACATTATTTTCCATCATGTACTTAAGGGTGGGGAAGAAGAGTGAGGGTATGAATATAAGGAATTTATAATTTCCTGTTATTTTCCATTTATGGTCTATCAAGGTGTGAACAAATGTAGGAAATGGTGTGTCTGAGGAGCAGCAAGGAGTCAGTCACAAAGGCACGTGCTCTCAATCCAGCCTTGCCTCATCTTCACTTCCTGCCCACACTACTGCAGCCCCTCCACTGCTGCCAGCAAACTCCACAGCACACCCAAGCAGCTCCTTCCTTTGGCCTAAGGGACTTACTCAAAGAGCAAGGCCAAACACTTCCATTTGGCGTAGAGGCATTTCACCATCTGGTCCCCCTCCCACCCCCCTTGCTAGTCCCAGGTGCACATCCTGTGCTATAAGCACGTTGAACTTGTCACTGTTTCCTGGCCGGCTGGATCTTTCACAGTGCCGGGCCTTGCCTCCTCTCTGTCCAGGAGAGGCTTACACCTTCTTCAGCAGCACCCTCGCCACGTGTCATTGAATCACTTTGTTCATCTTTCAATGAATTCTGTGTACACAGGGCGGCAGGGACTCCTGGCTTACTTGGACGGGTCCTCAGCACCCCACACGTAGTTTTCTTCATTGTTGTTCTGGTAGTTTGATTCCACATAGACTTTCCTATAGATCAGTGATTGTGTGTCTAGGCGTCTATCGTCTATTATTCATAAATACGTTGGTGTTTGAATTTATTGGTCTTCTGTGAATTTGGTTGGTGTGAGTCAGATCTTTCCAATTTGAGCTATGCTCTGGGGAATGATCAAGTTGCCTTCCTGTACCTCAGGACTGAAGACCAGACCTAGAATGCTGTCAGCCCTCTGATTCTCTGTGATTTTAAAAAAATACAACAATGATAATAGATGTTTAAGGTATTTGTCTATGGTGGCGCTATAATGCGAATAGGTAGAGTTGAGAAGCAGGGCCAACCTGGGGTTGAAGCCCCTTGACACTGCTGTTCTCAACTCCGTGCGTCTCTCCTGCTGGACCTCAGCAGGGGGTCCCTGGTGGATTTTGCACATGAGGTTTTTCTTTCTGTAAGGATCAGAGGAGTTTGTTTGGTGGTGCCCTCCACAGTTGGGGAACAAGATGGTGTGTGGAGACGGAGAGCCAGATGGAAAAACAGCCTGGGAGCTGAGCTGAGGCTGGGTAGTAAAGTCTAATGCCATAAACATGTGTTGAGCTCCTGCTCTGGGCCAGGGGCTGTGGAAGGTGCTGGAGAAACAGAGGAGTAAGATTTGGCCTCCGCCTTAGAGGAACTCGGCCTCCTGGGTGTAGTTCACAAACAGAACGGTTATAACGCAGTGTCTGGGGTGGAAGGAGAGGGGAAAGGTGTACCAGAGTTTCTTTTCATTTCCGCGTTCTTACAGCACCTGCCCCACTCACAGGCTAGAAGGGGCTCTTCCAGATACCGCAGGACACGTCCTCCCTGCCACCTCTGCCAGCTGATTAGCCAAGTGCCGGATACCTGAGCTCAGGCGGGCCAGCCAGACTCTCTGCCAGGAATGTGAAATAGAGAGGCCAGGTGGCTGCAGTTGTGTGGAAGTTCAGGTGCTCTGCAGGTGGATCACAGGAAGGTGGTTTGCAGAGGGAAAGACAAGGCCCAGGGGAAGCCCAGGTGGACACCAGGGGGAGAGGGAGAGAGGACGGCCGTGTCTGCCTCCTTTCCTGGGCGGCTGGCCTCTTCCTGCATATTGTGTCCTGAGCTCCTGGTGTCTGTGCAGAGCGCCCTCTCTCTCTAAGCCAGTGGTTCTCAACCTTCCTAATGCCGCGACCCTTTAATACAGTTCCTCATGTTGTGGTGACCCCCAATTTCATTGTTACAAATTGAACAGAATTAAAGCATAGTGATTAATCACAAAAACAATATGTAATTATGTATGTGTTTTCCGATGGTCTTAAGCGACCCCTGTGAAAGAGTCGTTCGACCCCCAAAGGGGTCACGACCCACAGGTTGAGAACCACTGCAAGCTATTGAGCAGGTTTGTCCCATTTGATGAATGTTCCTTAAGAAACACGGTGCGGGAGCTGGTTGCCATTCCAACCGAGCCTTTCATCAGACAGACGCTTTTGGCCTTCCTTATTCTTAGATGAGGAAATATTTTTCTGTATACACACACATGGATTCATGGCATAAGAATTTTTGCATTTCCTTAATTTTAAAAATCGTTGATATTAGTTTTATATAAAGTTTTCCCTGCTGAGCTATGAGGGCAAAAGAAAGGAATTTGTTTTGTGTTAGTTTTTGTTCGCAGATTGGCCTTAAGAAGAGACTGAGCCTTCAGAAGGCCCAGAACTGGAGGAGGAGGTAAGAGGAAAGTCGGAGTTGTTAATGAGTAGAGCATAAAAATTGGGAAACTTCTTTGTAGTCAGGCATCTTTCAAATTCTTGAAAAAATAAATTGTATTTTGGGGGAAGAAATTCAGTTTCCCATTAGTATGAGGTCATTGCATGAGGTGTATCAGACCTCCTCCTTTTTAGTTAGAACCTTGTTATATACGCTTTGTACAATTACCTTTCCCACACGTATTGCTTTGGTTGTAACCCATTCGATCTTGATATGTGGTATTTAATTTCTCACTGGAAACATTGTTTTAACATCTTAGATATATGCCCACCTGTTATTTAGAAGAAAAGATTTAATATTCCAAGTATATAGTTTTTTGTCATAGCTTTATTATTTCTAATTTTATTACATTTTGTTTGAAAAGCACTATTGCGTACAAGTGATTATTTTTTTTGCATTTAATTTTTGCAATTCATGGCCTAGTATTTGATTCGTTTTGACAAATAAATCTCTTTATTTGATAAGAGATTATATCCTTATTGTGGGCCATTTAAGAAACCCCTGCTTATCTATTTCTTCAGTTTTCTGTCATATTTCCTTTGTATATTCTATTGGTTTGTAATTTGGACTAGAAATGTAAATATTCAACATGTGTTCTAAGGTATATTCAATAATTTTAAACTATTTTATGTGCCTTTTAATCACAATACAGTGTCATCCTATATAATAAAAGCCTGATATGCTTAGTGTCTGGTTGTCTGGTCAGCCATTCAACCAATCAAAGCGTAATATGCTAATGATATGCTAAGGATGCTCAACCCCTTGCTGTGACGTGCACTGACCACCAGGGGGCAGATGCTCCGACCGCTAGGTTAGCTTGCTGCTGGAGTCCGGCCAATCGGGGACTGAGCAAGATGGGCCAGACATGCCCTAGAGCTCTTCCTTGGTCCCTCCCTGGCTAGCCAACCTCCTGCATCCATCCCCGGCCCCTATCATGCACTGGTGGGGTCCCTTGTCCTGGCCTGCGCCCTCTTGCACTCTGGCTGAGGGACCCCCTCCCCCAAGTGCACGAATTTTGTGCACTGGGCCTCTAGTTCTTATATAAACACATTCT